ATAAATGAGACCCCAGAGAGCTCCGGAACCCCTTCCACCAAGTGAGGACACAGCGAGAAGCCTGTGACCCAGATGACAGCCCTCGCTGACCATGCTGCACCCTGATCTTGGACTTCCAGCCTCCAGAACTGGGAGCAATAAATTCTGTTGTTTATAAAGCACCCAGCTGTGGTATTTCATTATAGCAGCCTGAACAGAATAAGCCAACACTTGAACAGCATGATCTTTAATGCTGTGTTTTATTAAAATATCAGCCAAGTATAATATAAACCTGTGCATATGCCTCCCCTAAAATCCTTCTTTTCCCCCTTTCCAGAAAGTCATTCTAAGTTGATGAAAAAACCCCAGCCTCAGGCTCATGATACTGTTACTGTTCATGGGTTCAAAGAGTAGAGTGTGCCCTAGAGCAGGGCCGAAGACAGATTGTAAATGCCTCCACCTAGGACAGCACCTCGAAAAAAGCCCGAAAGCAGAAATTGGAATTTTAAAAAATAATGCAGAGAACATGTTCATCATATATTCAAGGCACTTTCCATCACAAAGGCCCTGTTCCCTTGTCATTGTGATCACACTATTCCACCAAACCTTTAATAAAATCAACTGTGACTCATTTATTCAATCTTTCCGAAAAAAAAAACGAAAAAAAAACAATACATCTTGTACACTGTCATTCTTAGAATTCAAAAAAGAAAAACAGTGAGAGCTCTTAGTCCCACGGCATTCCTTAATGACATGCAGGATCGGGAAACAAATTGTGTGGCAACCCATTACCTTCCTCAGCTCCCAAGCACATTGGCATGTTTTACTGGGGCCTCTCTGCAGATAGGAGGAGTCCACCTTCGAACCCAAGTCGTAACTGGTGTCTTTCTAGACCTACTATCTCCAGGGAGAGTAGAGAGAGTGTCTAGCACTGCGTGACACGGCAAAACCATATGGATCTTGCTGGGTCTCCCCGTATCTTCACCGCATCACACCCCTAAACATGGTTAAAACTACATGAGACATTGGCTTGTCATTTGACCTTCCGTTGCTAGGCCTTCGGGGCCAGCGGCAACAGCCACACTTTGTGCACTTTCCCTCAGGGTCGGTGCCTAGCTCCTTGCAAACCTAATCACCCGCCCATCAGCCCGTGTTCCGCTCACTGCTGCATCGGAAGAGGCGCGCAGCGGTAATAATTCCCATTTTAGGTCTGATTCATCTGACTCCGTGTCTCACCAGTGGGTTGCCCCGATGACTAACTAGGTAAGCCCCAAACCGGTGTCACACGACACTCTGTAACCGATGGCTACTTCTGACAAAACAGAAATTACGTCTTTTCTACACCCAGCCCCAAGACTGACGTGGGACCAGCCTCCCCTCGCCGTCTCTGCCCAGCACGAGGCCGTTCGCTGCTTTCTGCTCTTTGGAGAGTTCACACATGAGCAGTAGCTTCGGATTCTGTGCTAAGGACAGACATGTGGGTCTAAAGACTTGCCCTTAAATGTCCTTGGTGTGCTCAAGCCACGCCTCTGACAGGCACAGTCCTCTTGTGGCCAATGTGCGGATGGAATGAATGGTCACAACCCTGGCACTGAGCTGCAACGTCCCATCCAAGCCGATGAAGCAGGGTGCCCGTGACAGCGAAACGGACAAATCAGGAGGATGCTTTCCCAGAGGGGTCTGCTCTCTGGTTAATAGCTGCCAACTGATGCCTTATGCAACTGGGGCTCCCCCAGCCCTCCCAGGCAGGGCACATTAGCAAACCAACCCTCCCAATGGTTCCCTTTATGCATTAAGATGTCGCTGCTGGCTCTCGCAAACAACTTCTTTTGCAAAACAACTTAAAAACAGACACCGGACTAAGAAAATGAGACTGATTGTCATTGTTTGTGGGACTCTTTTTTTAAAAAAAAAATCCTTTTCATCCTTGCTGTGCCTGGCGGTCAGACGGGGAGAGAAGAGGGAGCGTTGGGTAAACGGGCACTTGGCGGCCAGGATTTCTGATCCAGCTAATACGCCTAAGCCTGCATTCTGATCCCTGCTAAATTATCTTCCAGCTCATCTCCGAGATTGCTCCCTGCACATCTGACATACTTTAATACCGAATGTAAATCAGACGCCCCCACAGCCACCTCCGCTCTCTCACATTGCCCTAACTTTGGACTTGACTTTCCTTGCTATACTTGAGCTGCTCTTTTCAATCACATGTCATTCCCTCCCCACCCCCCACCCAAGGTGCGTTGCCACTGGATAGAGGAGACATTGTGTTGTAAAGTCACCTGGTTTGAAGCTGGCTCCAGGTTCAGTTTCCCCCACCTGTCTTCCCCTTAAAGGCTGGAAGACCCCAGGGAACATGTGGCCCTTGGAGGGTCTCTCTGCTGAGCCTGGTTGGTGCACTGGCCCAAGGGGGCCGCTGTGAGCGCAGGAATTCTGCACCAGGCACCGAACCCTAGCAGCTAGGGCAGGAACTATTGCCCACCAGACCCTAATAAATCCTGGAGTCAGAGGATGTCGGGCAAAATCCTTTGCTTGGACCCTGGCAGTATTGAGGGACGCGAGTAAGGAAAGGCTCATCCGAAATCCATCCCTGCCTGAGAGTTATTAAAACTAGAAGCCAAAGTAATTCATCCAACTAAAGAAAAGCTTGGGGAGAAGGGGGGCCCAGGTTTCTCCCCAGAATGGAGCTTCTGTTCAACTTTATTAAATGTTTTAAGCAGATTTAAGTTTTAGTCAAAGGACAAATTCCCATTCCCCAAGGAGAAACCCCCCCTCCCCCAGAAACTGGGAGATCAGCCAGAGAGCTGGTGGCTCAGCTGCTGGCCACAGGGTGGGGGCTTCATGCGATGTGAGGGGAAATGGCTGGAGGGAGGAGTGTGCAGGGGCAGGAAGGGACTGGTGGGCGGCAGAGGGAGGCTGTGCGTATGGTGGGATTTTATGAACATCAAAGGAATGAAGGCAGAGAGCTCTTGCCATCGCCTGCCAACTTGTCTAATGGACTGGAGAGGCAAGGCTGCCCTGATTGCACATCCAGCAGAAACGAGGTTGTGGCCCTAATCGTGGGGTGAGGTCTGGGACACCTGCTCTCTCCCGGGGGGCCCACAGTTAAGTGAGCCCCTCGGAGCTGAGCCGGGGCATTCTGGAAAGCTCATGAGTACCACGCTGGGCAAGAGATGCCCAGCAGAAGATGGGTGACTGAGCCAGCGGGGAGAGCTGGCAGGGAGCCACCACTCAGGAAGAATTCCTGGCAGCTGACTTGATCAAAGAAAGGGAGCCCCAGGGCTATGCTGGGTTCCAAGTCCTTCCATATGAAACAGTCAAGCCGTATATAAAATCCTACCGCACACAGCCATCCCTTCTTGTTGCAGGAAGGTGAGCTGACACAGAGAAGCTGCTGGAATCTCCACAGGGTCCTGCAGAATGCCCCCCACCCAAGCGTGCAGGAAAAGGGGGCCCGGATCTCATTCCCTGTGTCTGCCTCAGGGCCCCGACCCCCTTTTCCTCGGCTCCCACCGCCCTCCTCCTCTCTCGCCTTCTCTGGCACCTGCTGTTCGGGGGAGTCCTTATGTTCTTGGGCACCTGCATCCACCTGGGGGCCGGCTGCCCAGCGCTGCACCCAGGTCCTGGCTCCGCCCTTCCCCAGCTGGAGCTTTGAACTAGCTGACCTTGAACTTTTCCATGCCTCGGTTTCCTCATCTGTCCAGTGGGAATTACACTAGCACCTGCCTCTCAGAGCTGTTGGGAGGCTCAAATAAGGTAACGTGAGTGGGGCACTGGACACCCAGCTGGGCTCTGAGGCCACCGGGCCACTGGGGCTGCTGCCGTGGTTACCACCGTCGTCGCTGGAAGGGTTTCAGCGTCTGGTCCTCTCCCCACACTCCCCCTCCTCCTCGCCAAGCCCCTGGCTCCATCCCAAACCCCACTCCTCAGCTTTCTCAGGCTCCCCCGCTCCTTCCCTGTCGTGTTTACATCGCGTAGCCCAGAGAGATAAAGGCAGTGAGAGACATTTTATTTCTGAAGTTGTTAATTTTACTCTAGACTTCCCAAAAAAGCATCACCCATCTGTCCAAAAAAAAAAAAAAGACAGAGAAGATAAAAGATCTTTAAAAGCAATTATTTAAGTGCCAAGGAAAAGGAAATGAGACTGGACTGTCTTGCTTGAGGAGGCGGATTAGAGGGAGGCGTTGCACGACCCAAATCTGCCCCATGAAAGAAGGAAGGAAGGAAGGAAGGAAGGAAGGAAGGAAGGAAGGAAGGAAGGAAGGAAGGAAGGAAGGAAGGAAGGAAAGAAAGAAAGAAAGAAAGAAAGAAAGAAAGAAAGAAAGAAAGAAAGAAAGAAAGAAAGAAAGAAAGAAAGAAAGAAGAAAGAGATCTTTTAAAAAATAAAATGAGCTATCAGTGGCCCCAGCAGAACAGCCCTGTATGAACCTAGGCAGAGAAGTGCCTTTCGGTGTGAACTAGTCACTCCCCTCTGCCCTCTGCCCGGCGCCTCCGTCTGAGACCACACACCGGGGCGCACGGATTGTTCAGGGTCTGCCCGGGTTGCGTTTCCTTCGCGGGGACTCTGGGCAGCTGCAGCTGTGGCCCGCGCGGCCTGAGCTCCCGCACGCCCGAGCCTGCAGCGACCCCCTTCCCCCGGCTCTCCCCGCAGCCGGCCTCCCCAGCTCGCCTGCTGCCAGCTTTCTGACCGGTGTCCCCTGTCGCAAACGCATGCGGGAAGCAGCAGGAACCTTCGTGAGAGACTCCAGCAATCGGCTTCCTCTTCTGAGGGCTAAAACCCAAAGCACTTTCCAAAGTCACAGTTAAATCAGAAGCAAACAACGTGCCCCTTTCGCTTTCTAAGGAGAATCTCAAAAAGTTGCAAACTTAACCCGGGTCTGCGCTTGCCCTGCAAAGCAAGCCAGACACAGTGTTGGTCTTCCAACAATAGTTACGGGGCTGGGTTTCACGTCCTCTGAGATCACTGAGGTCCCTTCTCCCCCACCACCACCCCCAAGTCTCCCTCTTTGAGGAGGACGGCTCACCTCGCTCATGATGCTTGACCGCAGCTCTGGTCCTGCCGCTCAGCCGGGAGAGGGAGCACTGCTCAGGGGTCGCTGCTCCACCGGCCCTGGCTTTTCTCTTAAAAAGGGCTGCCCGGTGGCATCACGCCTCCCGTGAGCCAATGAGAGGCATTCACCTGTCTGCGAGCCTGGCAGATATCTGAGAGCCCAAAGGGCCACCTAGTGGAACAAAGGAGGAACGCACACCCCGTCGCTGCTCCGGATTCTGAGAAGGAAACGACAGATTTTCTTAAAAAGTCCAAGTCAGGGGCACAAAGATTGTCACAGGTTTGCAACTGCTCGTTAATTAAGGGGTGCAGGATTTCAACACATGGAAGACAGCTTCAATGTCAGTGGGAAGAAGGTTTGTCTTTTGTTTTGTTTTTTTAATTACGGTTGATATTCAATATTATATCAGTTTCAGGTGTACGGCACAGTGGTTAGATATTTCTATAATTGACAAAGTGGCCCCCCAGTAACTCGGGTACCCACCTGGCACCATACGTGGTTGTTAGAATATTACTATGTTCCCTGTGCTGTCCATCCCATGACTGTTCTCTAACTACCAATCCGTACATTTCAATCCCTTCCCCTTTGCACCCAGCCCCCCCAAGCAACCTCCCCTCTGACAACCGTAAGTCTGTTCTGTCTCTGTGAATCTGCTTCTGTTTTGTTTGTTTGTTTACCTTGCTCTTTAGCTTCCACATATGAGTGAAATCATCTGGTATTTGTCTTTCTCTACCTGACTGTTTCACTTCCCGCTATACCTGCTAGGTCCATCCAAGCTGTTGCAAATGGTAAGATCTCCTTCTTTATGGCCGAGTAGTACTCCATGGTGTAAATGTTCACCTCTTTTTATCCGCTCGTCTACTGATGGGCACTTGGGCTGCTTCCAGACCTTGCTATTGGAAAGTTTGTGTTTTGAAAGGAGAGCCGTTGTGAGGCACTAGCGTGTGCTTGGTCTGCTCCTCCTTGTTTTCCGGGTGCCTGCAACTTCCCCTGGCTTCTGTGCGGCCCAGGGGGCCTCACCCTTTGACTCCTGCCTCCAAGGCTCCTCCCTCTCTCGCGTCACACCCCATGGAGCTTTCATCCCACCTCCATGCCTCCCTCCTCCAGGCTCTCTGCTGCCACCTTCATGCCACCCCACCTCTTCACCCCAATGATCATGGCAATCCGAATTCTCTCCCTGTCCTTCCCTTACTTTCCCTACTCACTGTCAGGGATGGGCCTACTGTCACTGCTGCGGGTGGAGGCCCAGGACGTCCGCCTCACTGCCACCGTGCGATAGACATGCCCCAGTGGGACCTGTGAATATTCAAGTCACCTACTGTTCACACCAACCAGCTGGATGCACAGAAGCCGCTCCCCTGTGTTTGGAGCAGGAAGCAGGAGGTGGCGAGCACAGGGCAGTGCAAAGCTTAAGGTCCATGCAAAAGCCGATGCTGCTGCTCGAACCCAAGGGTCAGCACCTCCTGCAACTGTGTGCCCTGCGTGCCAGAATTGTGCCACCCCAGTCCTGGCCCTGCTGGAGCTCTCCACTTCCCAGGAGAGGGTGGATGGGCTTCATACAGAATAATGACAGTGTGGGAAAGGGGAGATCGGGAGCCCTTCCAGAACATCAAAGAAGAGTCCGTGGACATGAGATGAGCTTTCTAGCCAGAATGCACATTTCAAGATGAAGCCAGGGTGGATAAATACAACCTGCAGGGTGAGCACCTGATCTGGAACCTCTACCTTCCCCAGTGTGGGTTATTGCTGGCGATCCTGCTCTGTTCCTGGGACACTGAACAATAACGGCTTTTCAACAGGGCTGAGCACTGGGGCCAAGTGTTTTGGGGCATTGGGGGTGGCAGAAAGGAGACTCAAGAAACATTGGTGTCCTGCTACCTGGCCAGTCCTGGGGTGGGAGTTAATGGGTCTGGCAAGAACATTCAGGTGTCTGCTGACACCCTCTGCGGGCACCTGCCCCACCGGCCCCCTGCTCCCTGTAGAGAGAAGGGTGCCGCACCCCAACTCAGGTGAGTCCTCTCCTCGCCCTAACTCAGCTCCACTCACTGTGACCTCCTCTTGACTCTCAGTCCTCCAGCCCCGGTCCCCGCCGGTACAACCACACTCCTCAGGGCCACCTCAGTGAGTGACAGAAAGGCCACACGGTCCAGGAGGGCACCAGGGAGCACCGGTGGCCCTCAGATGCCGAGGCCAGGAGCCCTTGTCTGTGCTGCTTAAACATGAGTGACCACGAGCAGGAAGCTCGAGAAGAGCAAGTGTCCGCGGCCGTGGGAGCCAGCCCGCTTCATTTACAGCCATTGCACACAGGCGTCTGTCTGCAGGAAAGCCCCTTCCAATGGGAAGGTCGGTACCCTAGTTTTAATAACTCCTATTTCACAGAGCGACAGAAACGGACTACATCTGTTTATCCGGATCTACATGTGCTTAGGGGTCACGCGCATCACTGGAGAAGTAACAAAGGGTCTGCCTGCCAGCTCATCCCGCCAGCACCCTCCTTATTGCTCACCCCCTCCCGGCCCCCGTTTCACACTTGGGGGCCGCAGGCAGGGTGTCTTCTGGATTCCCCAGGTGGTTGGGAATGGGAGAAGGGAAGGGGGGCCAGCAGATGTCCCAGAGGAAGGGGGCAGGGCTGGGTTCAGGCATGGGAGCAGAGCCATGCCCTCCCCGGGACGCCGGTCTGGTCGGGGGCTTGGAGGTGGAGAATGAGATCTGCCGGTGGCAACACTCACAGGGCCCCACGTGTGGCTTTGTGGACTGTACTCAGGCAGAGGGGACAGGTGGAGGGGACACGGAGAACCAGCCTGGCTCCGCCGGCTGACTCTGATGCAAACACGAATTTTCTCACAATACGCATGCACAGGTTGATTTGCAACAGCTTGGGGTTTGGGGAGCAGTGAACAAGTAGTTGGAGTTCCCAGGGGTGGGGAGAGGATTGGAGGTGCGCAGGCTGGGCTGTGGCTTTGCTGAGTTGAGTGTCCCATTTTGTGGGACAAATAAAGGCTGTGGAAGAGAGGACTGATGACATTACGGGCTGAATTGCATCCCGCCCCAAATTCACCTACGGGTGCCTCGTTTTACTGTGCTTCACAGATACTGTGTTTTGATCAACATAAAGGCAAGACCCTCCACCAGTAAGAAGGCTGGGATTCTCTGAAGGCTCAGCTGGTGGTCAGCACTTCTTGCCAGTGGAGCACTTTTCATTAAGGTAGGTAGACATAATGCTATTATGTCTAATGGGCTACACTTAATAGACTACAGTATATCTAAACATAACTTTTCTATGCACTGGGAAATGAAAAACTTCGTGTGACTCGCTTTATTGTGCTTTTCAATTTTTTGCGGTGGTCTGGAACCAAACGCACCACATCGCTGAGGTAGGGCAGGTTCTACTCCCCAGGACCTCAGAACGGGACTGTATTTGGGAACAGGGTCTTGAAAGAGGTAATTAAGGCAAAACCAGGTCATATGGTTGGGCCTTAACCCTACAGGCCTGGTGTCCTTTAAAGAAGAGAAAATCTAGACACAGACCCACTGCAGAGGGAAGACCATGGGAAGACACAGGGAGAAGTCGGCCGTCTATAAGCCAAGGAGAGAGGCCTCGGGAGAAACCAACCCCCACCTCAGACTTCCAGCTCCCAAGTTCCAGGACTGTGAGAAAATAAGTGTCTGTTGTCTAAGCCACCCACGGGTCACACGCAAAGCAGGCGAGTGTGTGCCCCACATGGTTCCACATATGCTCACTGGCACTGAATGTCCCACCCAGGTGGGGCCTCAGATCACAACTCCCAGCCCCGTCCATTCTCTTGGGGCAGTGGTGCCCCAACACAACCAGCCAGCAGACCAAGGGTCGCAAAGGCTCCCCGCACCTCGTTTCAGAATCCCGAGGGGCAAGGATGGTAACTGGATGGTCTTTAAACCTTTCCATGTGGGTCTGATAGGCAGAGTTTGAGACTCATTGCTTGAACCAGTAACAACACGAACTAATAGCTCTCTCTCTCTCTCTCTCACACACACACACACACACACCCCACACTCCTCCCCAACTTCCCGGGCTCCCTCCTGACTCCTGTCTCTCCTCCAACCTCCCCTTAGGACCTGTGTTACCGCCGTTGACTCTTACGTGTACCGAGCTTATTTGAGCAGCTTCAACACACCCCTCTCGTGACTTTCCTCATATCAGGGAAACGCCACATTGCATGGCAGATGGAGTCCCAAACCAGAGCTTAGCCCCGTAATCCTCGACGTGAGCAATAGTTTTCCGTCGGAACTCGGCAGAGCCTCTCCATCCCTCAATGTCTCATTTCCTCCACTGGCAATGCAGAAATATTAAAACCTCGCATCTGCCAACCTAAGCAGAAATATATACACAGAATATATTGAGCCGGGGAATAAATTTTGAAGGAACTACAAGAGAATTAGATCTACAGCTTTATATATTAGATCTTGGGGAATGCTTCAACCTTGCTGAATTAAAATACAGACATGTGGTGCCATAATTTATAAAAAAATCTATAACGCAGGTAGATTATTTTCCTCTTCTTGGAAGCACGATCCTGCCTGGAGGCACAGAGTTGGACTGGGTCATCTTTCAAAGTCTTCCTCTGGGATTATTTATAGGGACACTGTATATGGATGGCCTGGGGCTTTTTCATCAGACTTACAACAAATGCATCATATGTGTACAATCTTGGGGGCTTGGGGGCTATAAAAAACCCACCCCCTGCTTCATTTTCCCACCTTAGCTTCTCTGCCTCTTTATGTGCCGCTGTGTCCTGATCTCTGAGCTTCAGAACAGAGAGAGAGCTGCCCAACCTCTTAGAATGGAGGCTTCGTGGCCCAAAGTCAGTGGCTGTGCTCCTCCCTCCCCCCTTCTGCCTTAACTGCTCCCCAGCCCGGAGCCCACTGCAGTCCCTGGGTGTCCATGCAGCCCCCCCAGCCCCAGTGCTCCCCACCCTAGTGGGCAACCCCGGTGGGCGCCCGCCTCTGACCCGCCGCTGGTCCCTGCTGCTCTGAGCCTGAGTCCTCCCTGCAGAGCCAGCCTCTGCCAACCGCCGGGGGTCGGGGGTCGGGG